CAAAACATCATAATATTAAACAAATCACACACTCTCACTTCCACATTCTGCAAAAGTCGCCACGTTGCAAAAATGCCATATCACAACCACCTTTAATTTCATACAGTCGCAGCAAAAATCTCCGGGACATTCTTGTTCACAGCCGACTAAAAAACCCAACTCTCCCACCTGGTTTCACAAAATGTGGTTCCAAGACGGGTTGCAATGTTTGCAAATTTTCACACAATACTACCAATTTCCATAGCACCACAAATAACAAAGTATATACCATAAAACACCCCATCACTTGCACAACTGGAAATGTCATTTATCTCATCACGTGCAAACGATGTCAAAAACAATATGTTGGCGAAACAAAGACGGAGCTCAGAACCAGATTTAATAACCACCTATGGACAGTGAGACACAACCAAGACACACCAGTAGCCATGCACTTTAATAAAACCAACCACGACATAGACGATATTTCATTTATTGGCATAATAAAAATTAACAAAACAGACGACCACCTTAGATAAAAACTTGAGTCTATATGGATAGATAAATTGATTACACAAACACCACTGGGCATTAACATCCGCCAGTGAGGGCGCATTTATCTAACAGCGCCACCTATTACACATATAAATAGGTTTCCATCCTCTGTATGGGTTATGCCAATTTACATCTCACGGCATCCCAACAGAGGTAAGTCTTTGGAGTATTATTATTATTTTTGTAAATACATTGTACTTGTAATCACGTTATTTTCACTGGACCATTTCAATCACAATCATTTACACATTGTATCTTTGTTTTACAACAGTTTTCTTGAAGAAGCCCTATTTCTAGGGCGAAACGTTGGAATAAACATCACAGAGCTGACCAGGTGTATTGTCGTGACAATCCTTGTGTTATTTGCATATTATCAACCCGCAATACTAGCTACTGGGGATCGTCTGATTTAATATTGTTGATTATTACATAAATGTAAATATTGTACTCCCGGGCAATATACGGATATTGACTTTAAAAGTTGGGGTCACCAACATAATTTTCGAGAAAATAATGGTTGTATTTAGTGGATAGTTGCCATTATAGGATCCCGTAGCAGATATATTACGTCATATTGTAGTCTACTGACATAAACTGAACAAATGGGACAATACCGACACGATTTCACATAACAACCCAAGTACTGTAACGCCATTCATGGCCAATTTTCTCAAAAATTATGAGTAGGTTTCTACCTTGAATGAATATGCAAATTATGAGATTTTGGACAGTAAATTTGTATCAACTTCTGGTTCCCGGCATGCAAAGCATACATCGGAATTATTCATTTATATTAGCACGGCACATTTCATCCAAATCGCTGAAAGTTTCTAAATGCCAGACGCCTGCAAAGAAATGTCATGTTGATTTGACTTTTGGTGACGTTGTTTGAGATTTAAAATTTGAAGTCACACTCTCACGAGTTTCTGATGAGAGTGTGGCTGGGCAATAAGATGAATATGCAAATGAACAGTAGCTTTATCTCTGTTTTATGCATATAAATAAGGGTAAACTCAACACAATGTGCGTCCAGACAGCTCACTTACGAGCATTCAGTAGGTTTAATTGCTATTCCATTTCAACAACAAGAAGCATTTTTTTCTGTCGCGAAAATCCAGCATTAGTGTCAGAAATCCTCGTCTTCAAAAACAATCCTCAGGCGGTCCTCCTTCTGTTTCTCTCGTTTCAAGAAAGCTTCTTTACTAGAAAGTCTTCTTTCCACAACTGTTGTTTCGTCACCCATGAAATTATTATATCTTCTTTTGAACACCGGTGGTTCACACTCATTCTCGATCGTGGCTTTGGGTGCCGTGATTTTCTTGGCAACTGGCTCTTGGTGCAACGGGGTTGAAGTGATTTGCTGCAGTTTTTTTTCGATATCCTTTCGTGACAACTGCTTCTGTTCACGCGTGACGACCTTATTCCCCGAAACCGAGATGTTTAGTCGATCTTTGATTCGCTGACGGTGGCCAACAACGTCAGGCAGTGGTAGGTTAAGAGGGATTTCGGCGCATTCTTCAAAAGGGTTTGATTTCTTAACAGTTGGGTGGGTGACTTGACTGTTTCGGTAACTGTAAAATGTTGTTGCCACGGCCACCTTTTTACCATCTCCGAGTCCAAACTGAGATGGCGTCACCAAGCTGTTGTCACTGCTGTTATCCGTGACGACACCGCTGTCAGTGG